TCAACCAAGAAATAATAACCTCAATTGATGACGAGATTCCAAGAAATAATTATAAAGAAACAAACATCCAAGCATTATATATGACTAATAACACGAAAACATTAGGTTGATATCCTCAATATAATGCAAAAACGGTGTAACTATGAATACTAAAAGAGGAAATAAGCACTTAATTCCTCGTATGTTAACTCACAACCTCATTTAAAGGTTGATATCCATGTAAACCAATTGAGTCAATTGGTGAAATCCCCAACAAATTCTACTAAATAAGTTCAACCCATTATTATAAACACTCACAAATAAATTAATAGCAATATCCTCAATATGAAGAAAAAAATAGACAAAACCCTATGCCTAAAATAACCTGAAATATTCTTAATCATAGATTAAACAAGTGAAATAATTAAACAAGTTCAACCATTTATTACAAAGTGTCAAAAGTGCAATAAGTAAATCTCCTAACAAGTTTATTTTATATATAAGTTCACTTAATAATTATAAACACTCACAGGCACATTTGGGGAACGCCAATAATATAATGGAAAAAAAAATGTCAACTATCCTTGTACACAGGTGAAATAATTAAACAAGTTCAACCATTTCATATAAAGACTCACAAGTTGAATAAGTAAATATCGTACAGTGTGTAGCAAACAAGTTCAAATATTATTTTGAAAATAACTGAATAAGGAGTTTATTTTAGCAGACATTAACCTAGCTATCTGAGAAAATAACTGTGAGTAATTAATACTAGAAAACACGAAAACCAAAAAATTTATATGGCAACTATGAGTACACAAAATATTAGCCATTGCACTTTTACGGGGCCACAATTGATATTTAGTGAACATCAGCCAATATTGCTATCCCCAGCACAAGTAAATTATGTAAACATTCCCTGAATGGCACAAGGATAAAATGATAACAGGCCCCGGTGTGAATGTGATAACAGAAAAACCCAAAGAATAGATATTAAATGATGCCAATATAATTAATTTAGGAACATGGCTCCCTAATATATACGGCATTGCACTATTTCGTAACAACCAATACTGAGAAGCACTACTGCAACCAATATTGAGAAGCACACTCAAATTATTTAACACACGATGGTCCCTGAACATGCAGATGGTATTCAGAAATAACCTGAACCAGCTCCAAATGTTAAAAAATATACTAACAAAGATGACCATCGGCTCACAAGAAAATGTAGCGGCAACTCCTGTCGCACAAAATGAAAATCCTTGCACCATTCCCAACAAATAATAGTTTGTAAACAATTCAACCAACATTTATAAACGCAACCAAATAAATTATCCGAAATTTTTGTAACCTCAACTTCATCTCACAAGAAAAAAATTCACAAACTAAATTGGGTCCACGGTACAGTAAAGAAATGAATAACACAGGCCAATGTCAACTCCAAGTACATAAATCCGCACGAATAGATCAAATCCATTTAAGGCATAGGGAAAACTAAGACGAAGGCTGCCGCAATAGTTTTGGGCTGGATTGAACGAGATGCTAAGGGGGGGGAGGAAGCCTCGATGTCTGACAAAGGCAAGGCGGTCCTCGTCGTCCGCGCATAAGAACCAAATGAGACGCTCATGCCGATTCCTTAGCAGATCAGCCATCTGGAAGCGCACACTTCGGTCCAAATTCAGACTGCTCAAAGTGGCCAAAGCAGCCACCAGCTCCTCGTCTTCATCAACTGGAGCCTTATTGCTCTTAGCAGGAGAAGAGACCGAACCGGAGATCCCAGAGCTCCCTTTACCGCTCAATCGTGTCTCGATGCTGTCTAAAACCCGGACGTATTTCTGGAATTGGGGGGAGGACGGCGCAAAGAATGACTCAGTTGACATGTCCCCCGATTTGCGCTTCTTAACCTTCTCTTTCCCTTTGCCCTTCTTAACCTTCTCTTTCCCTTTCCGGGTCACAGGAACGGCATCTCCTCCATCTGATGAATCGACATCCACAACCCCCTTGCCCCTACCTCTGCTCGCAGCGTGTTCCATTTCCAATTCATCGCCCGAGTTGAGGGGCGATACTCCAAAGCCGGCGCTAAAATCCCCAGTAGCCCCCTGATTCATGAAGACTTCTTCAAGCAAATGGAAGACCAGACAGCACCGGTTCCTAAATCTATTGTATCCCTGGTTGACCTACAAAAGAAGAAAACAGGTTTTAAAAATAAGCAAAAGCCCAATTAACAATTTAACACAACAGCTGTTAGGAACAAACAACTTTTACAAATAACTAAGGCAAATTCCACAGCTGAACAATACATACAACTAATAATGGTCAAAAAACCTACCAAAATTCTATAAACCAAGCTTATAAAAGAAAATATATAACGATAACAGCGTATAAGCTAAAGGATAGGACTAAGTATTATACCTGAAGTAGATGACTCCATCGCTCATCATCCATCATGAAGGTGAAGTTGGTTGAGTCCCAGCCCATACCAGTGCCACGCTTCTTGAACGAAATGTAAAGCCTAGTTAAGTTCTGAAGTGCATAGTACTTCGACCGAATAGTATCGCGGGAGAATGAAACCCCGAAAGTCTCAGTGAGCATCCTAGTAATCTGAGGGACAACGTGGCTCCCGATGGTCTGTGATGATATTTCCCCATTCCTATGCATGTTCACAAGCTGTTCAGCAATGGCAGTTTCCATCTTCGGCGTGAAATTGATACGTTCCTTAGGACCTTTTGGTTTGGGCATCTTTGTTTTCTTTAGGAAAGTCAAAACCAGAAAACAGGCTTAGGGTCGCCTTAATTGAGGGGAAATTAGATACAATCTAAGCCAATATTGGGACAGCATCTACAGAAATTTTTCACCTAGTCAGTTATAACTCACCTTGAAGTAATTTGTTATACAAAGACGCAAATCGTTTTCTCCCGTAGCCGAATATAAAGAACAACGGTTAGCACCCCTAGTCGTTTGCAAAGCTGTAAATAAGGCAAGTTAAAAAGCCGAGCACTACAGCTGTTTGTGATCAGAATTTCTAATAATTAATTGTCACAATAGTTGGGCCTTACCCTTCGAAGCACTCCGAGTCACAGGGGGCATCACAATCCTAAAAATATGTACAAGGTACTTTTTAAAATGCTATTACCAGGCTTTACGCATAAAATGTTCACAAAATATCATCCATTTTAATGTACCAAGCAAATAAAACAGTTCCAAAATAGAAAGTGAAATTCAGGTCAGGTTATCATATTATGGGACAAAACTCTCACAGGTCCAAAACAGCTTCACATAAGAACTAGAGACTAATTTCGAATAAGGCCAGCTTATGTTGCATTCAAAACCAAATGAGTCACAGCTAAAAGGTCCTCAATTTCCTTTACCGCTGCGTAGGACTAATTAAAATTTCGCGAGCCCACCCAATAAAACTTCACTAATTAAGAAAGGCAGCTCAAGTACAACAACAACAGCCGCTGTAAATAATCGATATTCCACCAGCTTGGCCCAGCATATCACAGGGGCCATATAATTTCAGTAATCCAATTGCAATAACTAGTTAGAAAAATAGCAGTGGTGCTTAATATGTAAATCTCCCAACTGATCAAATTTCTTACACAAAATTAAAGTGTAGGAACAAATACCCTATTCACAGATAACAGGCATTAATATACGGATCAATTTAAGCTAACAGCTCACAAACTTATCAACTATCTAATACTTAGAAAATTAGGTTGATATTCATTTAGTTAACACGATGCATATATAGCATGAGTTGCTACTAAAATATCTCCTATGCACACTAGAAATGGGCAAGTGCAGACAAGCTAAATATTTTTTTCTGGGATACGTGGGTATACGTCCCCTGTGTCCTGACTAATTGGGCCATACTCAAAAAGTATATGCGGGGAAGAGAATTGAAAGCAAATAAATGGTGAAGATGCCAGTGTGAATTGCAAAAATCAGTTCCAAACCGGAACTGAAGAAAATTACTCCCAAAATTACCGTAGATTTGGGGAGATTAAACGAAGCCGGTTTCAAAATAGGTATTCCATTCTGTCTACCATATACTATCAGCACAATGGTAGTTCAGAGCCCCCAAAACATGCCGGTTTCAAAATTGATTTAAGTACTGTAGCCCTATTAAGTGAACAGTTCAAAATTAATTAGGGCCCAATCAAGTGAACAGGTCAACCAACCTCAACGGCGCAACGTTCTGAGCAGCGGCGGAAACTTCACTCTCCTTCGCTGAGCAAGTAGAATCGCGATCGAAACGCCAAATCCAAGCTGATTACCAAGCTGATTACGCTAGTTCGGTACTTCTGATAGAAGTTCCTGTCGCTTCTCGTTCCTTTTTGCGTTGCGGATACTCAGCTCCTTGGTCACTGGTTTGCAAAAACAGCCTTCGATAAGCTGCTGATGTGCTCTTGGACAAGCTAGGTTCTTGCCTTTTCTAGCTGCGCGCCACCAAACATCCACGGATTAGAAGCTCTTAACTGGAGGTGATTTGTGTCCGAATGCGGTCCTCGGTTGTTGCTGTAGTGAAGAGGAAAGTGAAGAAGGGAAAGTTGTAGGTGAGGTGATTGGAGGAACGAGACTTGTTTTAACATTTTGGGCTGCTAAACGGTACCGTATGGATTCAGCGGGACTGTAGCATTTTAAATACAACCTGTTGACCATCGTTTGTATATTGACTACAAAAACTGTTTTTGGTAAAAACAGTGGAACCAAACGCAGCCAAGATGCTTGGTTGCTGATACAAGACAAATAGGAGCAGAGAGGTTTAGCAAGTATATAAAATGATATTAGCATTAGGAAATATTGTGAAGATGTAATTTTTTTATTTCTTTTATTTATCTGTTCATGGTTCAATGAAAAGGTAAATTGTAAATTCAGAAGGTATGGAGTTGAAATAGTCACAAGCAATTATGCAGGAATGAGTGAAGGGAGAAAATTGGAAGAGAAAAGGAAGCGAAGATATTTAATACGCAATGTATAAGCAGAATAAGCACACTACAATGATTGTGGATGAACAATTGCTTTGACTGCGAAACTAATTTAAGATTTAACCAATCAGCTGCGAATTGAACACAGGCTTTTCGGTCTTGGGTCGTGGGTCGTGGGTCGTGGGTCCTCAAATAATTTGCGCATCTAATTGCTTGGTTTCACTACGCTTCACTTCAGAGTTCAGAGCTTCTTTGCTCTGCATATATAGAAATTCGGTCATATGTACGAGAGAGTGAGCGGGGAACAGAGAAATAGAGTGACAATGGTGAGGATATTATCCATGGCGTCGTCGATTAAACCTTCGCTGTCCTGATTTAGGTCTGCGGCTGCTGCAGGGCTTCCTTCTCGCTTCGCTGTACCCTTCGGTTCGTGTTTCCAGAATTCTTGTCGCCCTCTCAGCTTATTGCATCTTGGCAGTGGTAATATTTTCAGTATGATTTAATTTGATTAATTTTTTCTGTTCAAATTCTGTGTTTTTTGTGCGGCGGGTAGCCGAGGGGTGGGAAATTCATCCCTTTCATTTCTTGGTCGATACTTTGGCCGAGGGGTCAATTTTGTTATCTTATCGATGATTTCTAAGGAATAGGGTTTGAAAATAGGGAAAATTGAAATCTGATTGGAAATAGATGAAGCCATATTTGAGCCGTGACCAGACCTTCTTTCTAATCTTTTTGGCTGAACTGAGGCGAACCCAAATGACGCTTAACCCATATTGTCACTTCTCATGAACGTGAATATTGGAGCCATCCCACTCTGGTTCACGACAGCCATGTCTGTACGTTTTTTGCACACATCTATGTCTGGTGTCCGCTGTGTGTAGTGTGTGCAGGGGAGACTGGGCAAGGGAGAAATGAGAAGAGGGGAGTGTGAGAAAGGTGAGAGAAAAAGAACACGGCTGATAGATCCACAGACAACATGGGGTAATAATTCACAACAGTGAGTTACAACTCTCAACTGGGAAGCTTGAACCAAAGATAATAGGTTTTTTTTTGGGGTGAGTGGAGCTGAAGAGCAAAGGTAATAGTTAATTACAGGGAAAATACATTACTTGCAAACTAATGGTGAGCTTTATAACGTTTGTGTCATGATAAAAATGTTTAAAATAAAAATTAGGCACTACCGTGGATCTGCCAATCACATAATAATCTGTGAGTAATGCCTGTAATAATTGAAAAACTTTGAACGTATGATAGATCTATTGTGACTGAATGTCAAATGAAAATGGTGTGTTTTTCATTCTTGATTACAGAAGTAGATAAAAAATGATGGAATATAACTCTGCTTTGTCTTTTTGTTTCTCATGATAGCTGAAGTGCTAGAGCATAAGCTAAGGAAGTATATGAGCAGATTCCAGTACCAAGATTGGCTAAAAATAGTAAGAACAACAACTGCAGTTACTTTGTTATGTTTTGTCTTTCAAAGCAATTTATGCATCTCGTTCATAGCATCCTCATGCTTAACCAGAATAATTTTTTCCAATTACCTGAATGCATTAACAGGGGAATCACTCAGGTCATTGTTATAAAAGCTTCTTCATGAATAAAATCAATTACATCTGATGTTGAAAGGCTTCAGCAATAACATGTGTATTTTAAGGCTAGCAACTCAATTAGATGAATTATTGAATCTGTGCATATTCATTGATTCTTGTAGAAGGCTAGAAAAAGTTAAGAGCAAAGACATAATATGAAAACTTGTTTGGAGAAGTAAAGGTTTGGTGTCAAATTTTTATAGTCCAGAACATAAACCATAAGTAAGTGCCAAGCCTGAACGTAAGAGAAACTAACTAAATGCCAAAACTGCTGTTTGTCTAACATCGTTGCTTAATTCTGATGCAGCAAAATGTAAACCAAGACTAAGGTAGGTACTATGCTGAATAACCTGTAGGAGATGATTTTTAAAAAAAAGTAGAAAAGTGGAAACATAAAAATAAGTACTTCTTTACATAATGCAATAAGACAAATACCAATGTTTATGTTTCTGAATATGGGCTGCCACCACCACCAGCCTCATTCTGTGACAAGGAGCCATTAGTGATTTTCGTTGTTGTAGATGGCCGCTGTCAATAAGTTGTGGTGCTGTTGCGCTAAACTTAGTCCAATTTGTAGCTCTGGTGAGCTAGTTGTGACAGTTTAAACAAATACAAAATGTTAGATAGAGATAACTACTTTTATCATTATGCAGCATATAAAACAATGAGGAAAGTAGGTGCACAGTAGCATGTTTGAACTGGTCCATTTCAGGCCTATTTCACAATTGGCCCAAACTCACTATAAACACAATATACACATTATTACATACAAAACATACACTTTTAATGTAACCTTTAATGGATCAGATTCTAACTGGATTGAGCCAAATGACACCCAGGCTCTACTCATGTTTAATTCGAGTCTTACTGATGCAATCATACTTTTCTCAAGTTGAATAGGCCGAACTCATGCCAGTTAGACCTATTGATAGTCCTAATCATACATATTGTGGTAGGTATTATATTATATATTTTAGTGCATATTATAGTATAATTTGTACTTAAAATTATATATATGGATGGATGTGGTGTGTACTTAAAAAGTGTATGTTTGTGCAACATTGTCGAATGCAAAAAAAACTTTATATGCTAAGAAACATCAACTGACACAAAATGCATCACTAAACAACTTAATATTTTTCAATGACTACAAGATGTTTTGAGTCCTCTCCATCATAGAATCAGTATTCTCAGTAACGCACCATATTGTCATAGTTGTTTATCATACAATGAAATATATGAGCATCAAAAACTTGATATCCGTTCCTATGATTGTGCTATGATATCAAAAACTTGATATCAAACTTTAACTTTTAAACAAAGCACCATATTTTACAAATGTTTTGAAAACTAACTTGACTCTCAATTCCTTTTCCTCCTTGTAAGTTTCAATTCCTTTTCCTCCTTGTAAGTTTCAATTCCTTTTCCTCCTTGTAAGTTTTGGAATTTCCCCTTGAATAAAAAAATTTTCCCCTTGTAAATATGGAATGTAAAGTAGTTAATGTGGGATTTGGAGAAACAGCCTCTGATTTAATTCTGAAAACTGAACTTTGTTCATGTGAAAAAGTTACCGAGCATACAAAATTTGAAATTGAGAATGCTTGCTATTTGCTATTTGTCTTTGATATTTTTTTCATTGTAATCAAATTTGATTCACTAAATGTCATTGAGTGATCGTACTCAGATCTTATTTTGAACTAACTAACCATGTTTTAAAATATTATGCACATCTTATCTTGTGCTAACTAAAATATTATTTCTCATCTTAACAGATTGCTTTATTGTGTTGAGAATTATGAAATGCAATCTAATATGCAAAAAGCTAACAATTAGTCAAATGTTTCAAAGAAATCTAGTAAACTGGGAAAGCGTCTTGGGAAGAAAAGAAAAGAAAATAGGAAAAATGTCTTATTATAACTATATAAGAATTGCAATGTCAACTGTATGGAAGTCTTCGAGACAGCATCCCTTTTATTTTTGATAACTTTGTAGCATAAATAGTTTCCTTCAGAATTGTGATTACCCTCTGTGTTATCTGAATATCTTTCTTGGGACTGGACAGTTAGTCCCTCATTTTCAAAAGATAAGCTTGGTGTTCATTCTCTACAAGGTCAAATGCTATTTGAAATCCCAATAAACCATCATTCTTACTTTTTGTTCTTAAGAGTTTCTCAAATACAGCAGCAATGTCTTGTGGTCTATCCAAAAACATGAGAAGCTGACATATGTTTAAATAATGAGGTGACATATGCATTAAAGTAGTTGAGGTTAGAATTTTTGAAGTTTTGACATCTGATACACTTGGACCAACATTTTTTAGAATTAGGAATAAGGTTTAGAAGAATGAATTAAATAGATATAATCATATCACGCTGATATTTTCTAGAGTTGACAAGATTGTGACAGACATGATTACAATAGTATAGGGTCACTTGAATGTTGTCAGTTTGTATAAGTATTTGCTGAAGCTTATCCAATCTCTGGTATTTTATATCTATTCTCACAGGTTATTGATATCTTTTGTTAATTATATACCTAGAGGGAGTTTCAAAAATGAGATAATGAGAGAAAGTTTAAATTTATAGTATAAATTTTTGGTGCTTTATTTGTCTCAGCAGCCTTAGTCTTGAGATCAGGACGTTTGTCTATAGCTTTAGCTGAGATAAAAGGATATAGTAGAAAATAAAGTAAGACGTGTGTGGCATGGTTAAAAAGAAATGCATAGTTAACTTATGTAATACCAGTGCCACTTTATACTTCAAAATCAGTATTTATCTAGCCATGATTTATTTTCTTAAAGGTTTGTTATGAATAATGAACACATACGAAAGCAAAAAAAAATTATCCTTCCTATTCTTCAAATGGATTTTACATAACCTGGTAAAATGAATGCTAAAATATTAATCAAGGAGATGAGTTGTCTGTAGAAGTAGGCTTTAAAAGAAAAACTTGCAACAAAAAGGCTTCTTTGAATCTTTGAGGCTAGTAATATAGCTAGTTGGCTGTGAGTCTCATCAAAGTTCTCATGTTCATATACACTCTTGTTGCAAAACGATAAACAGTTAGTAATTAATTTTCTGAACATATAATTATAAGAATGAGCAATGTAAATATATAATGAATTTTCTGAACATATGTCTACAAGAATGACTAATAAGGGTAGAAAAAGTTAAGAGCAAAGACATCATATGAAAAGTTGTTTGGACAAGCAAAGCTTTGCTGTGAAGTTCTTATAGTCCAGAACATAAACCATAAACAAGTGCTAAGCCTAAACATAAGACAAACTAACCAAGTGCCAAAATTGCAGTTTACCTAACACCATTGCTTAATTCTGATGCACCAAAATGCAGCAGGTATCAAATTGTCTTGTTGTTTGCAGTTTCATTGTAAGCAAATGCTAATGCATACATTTATCGATAATGTGCTTCTTCTGTTCCGTAAACTGTCAAAAAGAGAAAGAATTCATTAAGTTTTTAATTCTAGAAATAGATTATGGAATTCATTCAGCTTTTAACTCTAGAAATATATTATAGCTTTTAATTTAATAAATTTTTACATGACATTTTTTATATCATGAAAAATATCTTCATTAGGAGTTTCCAATACTGCTAAGGTAGGTACTATGCTGAATAACGTGTAGGAGACAATTTTTAAAAAAAGACGGAAAAGTCGAAAGATAAAAATAGGTACTTTTTTACATAATGCAATAAGACAAATACTTCAGCGTTAGTGTTTGTTAGACTATGATAGAGGAACTAATTCATGCCTTCCTCATAGCAGACAATGCTTATATTTCTGAATATGAGCTGCCACCACCACCAGCTCCACTGTGTGACAAGGACCTATAAGTGATTTTCCTTGCTGTAGATGGTCTCTGTTAATAACCTGTACTGCTGTTGCGCTAAACTTAGTCCAATTTGTAGTCCTGGTGAGCTAGTTCTGATAGTTTAAACAAATACAAAATGTTAGATAGAAATAATAAGTTTTATCGTTATGCAGCATATAAAACAATGAGGAAAGTAGGTGCAGAGTAATGTGTTGACAGTTGTGACAACATCCATAATGCTATTAGTGTGTATAGTTGCATTATGACAAATATTATTTCTCATCTCAACAGATTGTTTTATTGTGTTGAGAATTACAAAATGCAATCTGATATGCAAAAAGGTAACAATTAGTGAAATATTCCAAAGAAATCTAGTAAACTGAGAAACTATCTTGAGAAGGAAAAAAAAGAAAATAGGAAAAATACCTTAGTTATTATAACTATATAAGAATTGCAATGTCAACTGTATGGAAGTCTCTCGAGACAGCATTCCTTTTATTTCTGGTAACTTCGCAGCATAAATAGTTTCTTTCAGAATTTTGATTACCCTCTGCTATCTGAATATCTTTCTTGGGACTGGAAAGTTAGTCCCTCATTTTCAAAAGATAAGCTTGGTGTTCATTCTCTACAAGGTCAAATGCTATTTGAAATCCCAATAAACCATCATTCTTACTTTTTGTTCTTAAGAGTTTCTCAAATACAGCAGCAATGTCTTGTGGTCTATCAAAAAACATGAGAAGCTGACATATGCTTAAATAATCAGGTGACATATGCATTAAAGTAGTTGAGGTTAGAATTTCTGAAGTTTTGACATCTGATACACTTGGACCAACATTTTCTAGAATTAGGAATAAGGTTTATAAGAATGAATTGGATAGTAGATATAATCACATCACGTTGATATTCTCTAGAGCTGGCAAAATTGTGAGAGACATGATTACAATAGTATACGGTTACTTGAATGTTGTCACTTCTTGTAAGTGCTTGCTGAAGCTTATCCAATCTTTGGTATTTTATGCTTATTCTACAGGGGGTCAAAAAATGAGATAATGAGAAAATTTTGAAATGTATAGTATAATGTAATGTTTCAGAAGTTTACGTACTTATCAAGCATCCTTTCAATAATGACTTGATCTTGCATCTATCTTTGCTGCTTTATTTGACTCAGCAGCCTTAGTTTTGAGGTCAGGACGTTTGTCTATAGCTTTAGCTGAGACAAAAGTATATAATAGAAAATAAAGTAAGACGTGCATGGCATGGTTAAAAAGAAATGCATAGTTAAGTTATGTAATACCAGTGCTACTTTATAGTGCAAAATCAGTATTTATCTAACCATGATTTATTTTCTTATAGATGCAATACATAGAAATACTTAACAAATTTAGAAGGCAGAATTCAACAATAACATGCTACCTAGAATAGTCCGGACATAATCTGAATCTTCTGATACATTGAATAGAAGGTCAACTGCAAGGAATGACAACAATGAGTGATTTAGTTTATTCAAATAACAAAAGACCTGAGAGGGGAGATAGAGATTTGTTATAAATAATGAACACAAATGAAAGCAAAAAGAACTTATGCTTCCTATTCTTCAAATGCATTTTATATAACCTGATAAAATGAATGCTAAAATATTAATGAAGGAGATGAGCAGTCTGTAGAAGTGGGCTTTAAAACAAAAACTTCCAACAAAAAAGCATCTTTGAATCTTTGAGGCCAGTAATGTAGGTAGTTGCCTCTGAGTCTCATCAAAGTTCTCATCTTTATATACATTTTCACTGCAAAAACGATAAAGACTTAGTAATCAATTTTCTGAACATACAATTACAAGAATGAGTAATGTTAATATATAACGAATTTTCTGAACATATGACTACAAGAATCAGTAATAAGGGCAGATGAAATGTATGAACACTAACCTCTGTTTTTTGAATATTCCCTAGGGACATTTGTAAAAGTATGAGCTAACTCAAAAATGGAGCAGTATTTGTGAAAGATTTAACATTATTTGCATTATAAATGAAGCATAAGTTCTAGTTAATGCTATATCTTAATACAAGAATTTTCTTAATAGGTATTTTAGTACAAGCAAGTTAAGCATGAATTGCTGGTGGATTATGAATATGAATAAGTGCAATGAATATGAATCTGACAATCTTGTAATCAATAATTATGAAAGGTGATGATTTGCAAGCTGTAAAATATGTTTGTATACTATGTTATTGGTAGCATGGTCAACTGTTGGATCAAAAGGAGAAGGCTGTATAAGAATCTTTACACAATTGCTGCTTTTTGCTCTTGATAAAGCAACATATAGTTGGGCATGTGAAAAAACTGGTTCACGTAAGTATATACCAACAAAATCTAAGGTTTGACCTTGAGCCTTATTAATTGTCATTGCAAAGCATAGGCACACTGGAAATTGAACTCTTTCAAATGACATTGGGCAATTAGGATTATTTTCTATTCGAAAAGATATTCTATGTAAAAAGACTTGTTTGCCTTTGAATTCTCCAGCACTTATAATTGCATCAATAATATTGTTAGTTAAAGATATACATATTAGTCTTGTTCCATTGCATAAACCTTTTGGGGGATCAATGTTTCTGAGAAGAATTATTGGGCAATTTGGTTTTAGAATAAGATTATGGGGGGGGGGAAAACCATTGGGTGTTAAGCTATTCAGAAAATCTTCAAATAGGCCTTGTTCTGAAATGTCAAGTGTTTTATCACGACTAATATATTCTTGAGCCTCACCTGGAAAAATGTTAATTAACAAGTTGTTTAACATATCAACAAATTCATTTTTTGTAGTAAGGATTGCTCGATTTACCAATGAAAAATCATCCTTGGAAAAAGCAGTTAAATCTGGGTAAACTGTTTTGATAAGTTCAAAAATTGATTATGTTTCACTTTTGTATGGTATCAATAGTGGGACAGGATATTTACTTTTAACCCTTGTATTGCTGGTTCTAGTCCATTCCCTATTCGGAGAAGGTAATCTGTGAATTCTGGATCTGATATTGCTCTCATGTTATCTGTGAGGTATAGTTTATGAAGCTATGGCCAAATGTATGAAGTTACTAAGCTAGCTTGTACAGAATCTTCCTTTGAACCTTTAGTGACAACAGGGAGAACTTGTCTAAAGTCACCACCAAAAACCATAATTTTTGAGCCAAATAATTCAGAAGAACCCATTAAATCTTTTAGTAGTGTATCCACACCTTCTATACCAGTTTTGTGTGCCATTGGAGCTTCATCCCAAATGATAAGTTTAGCCGCTTGAATTAGTTTAGCAAGTGCACTTTGTTTACTAATTTTACACATGTTAACTGAATTCATATCAATTGGAATCTTGAATCGAGAGTGTGTTGTTCTACCTCCTGGTAATATTGATGCTGCAACTCCACAAGAAGCGGTAGCTAATGCTAATTTTTGCCAACATTGAAAATTCAACAAAATTCACTTGATTTGAACTAACCTCTGAAATTTGGAATTCTATTAGGGTTATAATCCAAGTTTAAGACAAAACAAACGGAACAAGAGTCGGAGTGTTGAGCACCAAGATATGATAGCTCAAAGTTGGTGAAAAATCGAAACTGTTAAACAAAATTCCAGATTTAAACTTCAAACTTTGGGACTTTGGTTAGGTATCGAAACGAACTCGGAACGACACCAAATTTGGTATGAATACACTACCAGATAAGGGCTACTCTTTTGCCAAAATTCATAGAAAAATATGTACGAGAAATCGGTTAACGAAACCACTAAAATTCCAAGAAGTTCCAAGGCAAATCTGTCTTGAACTTCCGTTTTTCCGTTTTCAAGCATTTGGCCAAGGAAATTCCCTCGACATGGTTCATTGGTGTAGACGAGATCTAATAAACATTTCAAGATAGATTTGGTAGGTGATTAAGACCAAGAATCTCGAATTAACAAGTCTCGATCAAATTTAGTACTAATTTTGCCCAAAAGGAGGGTTTTCCTTCAAGAAGTCAGTTTCGAAATACGGTCACAAATTACTCAATTCAACTCGGAATTGGACATGATTGGTGGTGTTGGAAAACACACTCATAAAGCTACAATTTCTCAGAAAAAATCATTTTCAAAATCTGTCCACAACTAGTTCACATTGGAACCTCAAGTTATAGTTCATGTTCTGCCTTCCAGGAAACTAACGAAACAGGGCAGCCAAGTTCAAACGGTTGGTACGGATTACTCATGTGGAATTAGGACGTGCATTTTATACCGTTGGAAAGCTGGGAATGTCTAGTTTTCAGTGCCGCAAACGGCACTCGATTTCGACATCGAAGCAAAAAGTTATGGTTGAAAGAAAAGGACTGCCTGGGCAATCCGGGAAAATTTTCCAGTTTCGCTAAACCTTTGAAATCACTACAATTGATCAACTAAATCATGTTATTTTTCAATGAAACTTTCTACATCATTCATATAACATGTATACATCACAAACAAGTCATTAGAATCTCAAAATTTCGCACCAAAGTGCACGAACATGGCAGGGGTAAAATGGTCACTTTTGTTCATTGCACCTTCCTTGAATTTCTATCAACAACTCAACATTATTTCACTAATTTAAGCACTAAACCAACATTAATAGCATCATCATTTATCAAATCAGTCCATCCGATCCAAGTGGGAGTTTATAGAGTCCACACAATAATTTTTTCAACATAAACAAGCTACCCACATGCATGCATGAGCTTATATGTGCACTACTACTTTCATAAATCAAGATTTTTCAAGTTGATCATCACATACTTGTTTAAATGAATCAAGGCAGAAATTTCAATCCAAAAATGCTCAAGAAAATCGTGAAAAGCAGTCCCTTTTTGTAGTTTGGGTGGTTCACCAAGTGATTACAAAGTGTGGTTAAAGTTTGAGGTGATTTGGAGTAAGATTTGAGGTAGAAATGAAGAGTTTTCTTTCCTTTCCTTTCTTGTTTTGGCCGGCTCTTGAGGTGAGAAAATGAGAGTTTCAACCGTGCACTTGAGGTGAGAAAAGAAGGGTTTTGATATGGTGTGATGCTTCCATGAGAAGCTTAAGAAAGTGTGGCCAAAATTGCTCCAAAAGTCAACTAAGAATAGTGCGCGTACGCGCGCGTTTCGTGCTCGATTCCGCTCGAGTTTGTTTTACTTGTGTTCTAAACCTCTAATGCACTTGTATTCGTACTATTATTATTTACTTTTAATGGTCTTAAATCCCTCAATTAATCGCACGTGTAAAAATGCGTACTTCAGATTTGTGCGCGATAAAGTGAAATTTTCAAGAATTTCTTATCACGATAGTATCACTAACTAATAATTGAATATTTAAACATAAAAATACCTATTTCAAAACTAATGTACAAGTCTTCAATTTTTCAAACTTATTGTATTCTCGAATCGATTATTATTTCCAATCGCGTATTCACTATTCTCATGTTACGAGCTTTCAAAAATTAAATTTTGAAACGAGTCATTTTAAAAATATAAGTAAATCATAGTTCCATGTAATTGAGTATAAAGAGGTTGAAATAAAATATTCGAGACAAACGGGCAATTAAATATTGAAATAAGCTAGTAATAGGGGCTTAAAATAGGAAATTTTGCGAGTTTTCACATTAGTCGAGTTTTAATTCCTTAAATCTCCAATTAATTTTTCTTAATCTACTATTGATCATTCTTACTTCTCCAAAATTAATACACTCTCGATTCAAATATAGCCTCGAAAAACGTGTATTCGTTGTTCCGAACTAAATGAGTTTTCGAAAAGTAAATTTTCTAACAAAACGCTTTAAAAACATAAGAGATGCGTTTTTTCATATAAATGGATTTTAAGTAGTCAAATTAAATAATTCGGAGAAAAAGAGTGAATAACTATTTAAATAAACCAGTAATATTTGACAAAAATAAGAAAATTTTCGGATCCTCACATTTTTCCCTCCTTAAAAGAATTTCGTCCTCGAAATTCACACTTAGGATAATAGTCATATCCTTTAATAGTCATGCTTTTCAAATCAATCACTAACTTACACTCTCCGATTCATATCTCACAATTTCTATTTACCCAATTAGTAGTCAAATTTTGATTCTATCTTATGAATCTAGGGTTTTGCAAAAAGTGTGTACGGTACTAGGGTCATTAAGAACCTTAGATAGACAAATAAAAGGAAGAATCATAGTTCTATGTAATTGAGTATAAAGAGGTTGAAATAAAATATTCGAGATAAACGGGCAATTAAATATTGAAATAAGCTAGTAATAGGGGTTTAAAATAGGAAATTTTGCGAGTTCTCACATAAGTCGAGTTTTAATTTCTCAAATCGCCAATTAATTTTTCTTAATCTACTATTGATCATTCTTATTTCTCCAAAATTAATACACTCTCGATTCAAATATAGCCTCGAAAAACGTGTACTCGTTGTTCCGAACTAAATGAGTTTTCGAAAAGTAAATTTCTAACAAAACGCTTTAAAAACATAAGAGAGGTGTTTTTCCATATAAATGGATTTTAAGTAGTCAAATTAAATAATTCGGAGAAAAAGAGTGAATAACTATTTAAATAAACCAGTAATATTTGACAAAAATAAGAAAATTTTCGGATCCTCACATTCTCCCCTCCTTAAAAGAATTTCGTCCTCGAAATTCACACTTAGGATAATAGTCATGCCTTTCAAATCAATCACTAACTTACACTCTCCGATCCATATCTCACAATTTCTATTTACCCAATTAGTAGTCAAACTTTGATTCTATCTTATGAATCTAGGGTTTTGCAAAAAGTGTGTACGGTACTAGGGTCACTGAGAACCTTAGATAGACAAATAAAAGGAAGAATCATAGTTCTATGTAATTGAGTATAAAGAGATTGAAATAAAATATTCAAGATAAACGGGCAATTAAATATTGCAATAAGCTAGTAATAGGGGCTTAAAATAGGAAATTTTGCGAGTCCTCATATAAGTCGAGTTTTAATTTTTCAAATCGCCAATTAATTTTTCTTAATCTACTATTGATCATTCTTACTTCTTCAAAATTAATACACTCTCGATTCAAATATAGTCTCGAAAAACGTGTACTCGTTGTTCCGAACTAAATGAGTTTTCGAAAAGTAAATTTCTAACAAAACGCTTTAAAAACATAAGAGAGGTGTTTTTCCATATAAATGGATTTTAAGTAGTCAAATTAAATAATTCGGAGAAAAAGAGTGAATAACTATTTAAATAAACCAGTAATATTTGACAAAAATAAGAAAATTTTCGGATCCTCACATTTTCCCCTCCTTAAAAAATTTCGTTCTCGAAATTCACACTTAGGATAATAGTCATATCCTTTAATAGTCATGCCTTTCAAATCAATCACTAACTTACACTTTCTGATCCATATCTCACAATTTTTATTTACCCAATTAGTAGTCAAACTTTGATTCTATCTTATGAATCTAGGGTTTTGCAAAAAGTGTGTACGGTACTAGGGTCACTGAGAACCTTAGATAGACAAATAAAAAAAAGAATCATAGTTCTATGTAATTGAGTATAAAGAGGTTGAAATAAAATATTCGAGACAAACGGGCAATTAAATATTGAAATAAGCTAGTAATAGGGGCTTAAAATAGGAAATTTTGTGAGTCCTCACATAAGTCGAGTTTTAATTTCTCAAATCGCCAATTAATTTTTCTTAATTTATTATTGATCATTCTTACTTCTCCAAAATTAATACACTCTCGATTCAAATATAGTCTCGAAAAACGTGTACTCGTTGTTCCGAACTAAACTAGTTTTCGAAAAGTAAATTTTCTAACAAAACGCTTTAAAAACATAAGAGAGGCATTTTTCTATATAAATGAATTTTAAATAGTCAAATTAAATAATTCGTAGAAAAAGAGTGAATAACTATTTAAATAAATCAATAATATTTGACAAAAATAATAAAATGTGAGGATTCGAAAATTTTCTTATTTTTGTCAAATATTCCTGATTTATTTAAATAGATATTCACTCTTTTTCTTCGAATTATTTAATTTGACTACTTAAAATCCATTTATATGGAAAAACGCCTCTCTTATGTTTTTAAAGCGTTTTGTTAGAAAATTTACTTTTCGAAAACTCGTTTAGTTCGGAATAACGAGTACACGTTTTTCGAGATTATATTTGAATCGAGAGTGTATTAATTTTGGAGAAGTAAGAATGATCAATAGTAGATTAAGAAAAATTAATGGGATATTTGAGGAATTAAAACTCGACTTATGTGAGGACTCGCAAAATTTCCTATTTTAAGCCCCTATTACTAGCTTATTTCAATTTTTAATTGTCCGTTTGCCTCGAATATTTTATTTCAACCTCTTTATACTCAATTACATGGAAATATGACTTATTTATATTTTTAAAATGAGAATAGTGAATACGCGATTGGAAATAATAATCAATTCGAGAATACAATAAGGTTAAAAAATTGGAAACTTGTACATTTGTCTTAAAATAGGT